TTCCCTTTTTACTTCCCAACGCTTCCCACTTTCAAAAATTCCTTCTCGTGTCTTTCAGACAATAATTACGTTTCATTTTGTGCAATCAGTTCAATAAAAGCTATTTACCTTTTTCCGCAAATTTCTCGCCCGATTTCAAAGTCCTTCACCCAAGCGCATACATAGTAACATAGAGAATTTTCTGGCCTTCAAATTAAGCTATAAATGAAATTTCAAAAATATGCCCATACAGGGAAATTGTCGAAATAGTAGGCCGGTATCATCATTTTCACCTATCTTAGCACTTTAAATATTTCTTGAATTCATTTACTCAGAACCGGAATGTTTTGTATATAGAACTTTTCGGGCTTCAAAATGAGCTATAAATAAGTCTTCCAAAAATATGTCCACATGGATCAATAGTCGGAATACTTGGCCGATGCCATAATTTTCACCTATCTTAGTTGTTTAAACACACCTTTAGCCATTTTTCATAATAAAAAATTGGATATTTTTCAAAAATATACGATTGGATAGCCGTTTAAATTCTATACAAAGTGAGCTGGTCAGAATATCCAGACAGTTGGGACCGGCCATTAACGATATTGAGAGAAGCGTTTGGGTGTTATCTATACAGTACAAAGATTTTTCTATCAGATGAGATGCATATCGCCGTCGCATGAGAAAGTTGATAGTAGGATTTCTGGAAAACCTGACCGCTCGAAAACCAAGTCCTTAGTTTTGGATTATAGATGGATTTGAAATCCAGAAGCCTAAAACATTTGTTTTTCGCCTTTTAATGTGGTCTTGTGAATCCTGTCAGAGACCGTGATAGATATATCGACACCCTGCTCCTTTGTTTTTATCATGGATTGTAATCAATAGAGAGAGAGTCTTCCTACTCTCTAGAGGAAGTCTACGATTAAAGCGACTCCATCGTGTTTCACATTTTGATCCCGTAGGGGTTGCATTGAAAGCTTTTATCGAAGGGTCAGGCCGAATATAAATCTTCTTGTTTAACTTCAGAAACAACAGAATAAATCAGTAGGACACAGAAATAATTAAAAGTACCAAAACTCAGTTGACTCTGTTCATTCTTCGACGTGAATATAGGACAGATGCTGTTCAAATCAATAGCGTCCATCTTTTCCTTGTATGTTTGTCAAAAACGGAGGATTGGGAGATGGTACGAAGTTTGTCCCGAGATGTTTTTAGCTTACATACAAAGCTACAGCTCTCATTTTAGCTCATTAGTCTTATTATAGTTGCGTACTTGTATAGCTGTCACACTTTTAGCCCCTTAAATGTTTTACTACCTTTAGTCTCTTACACCCTTTATTCTTTTATTGCCTTTACTCCCTTTTGCTCCCTTTAGTTTTTACTCCTTTTACTCCCTTTACTTTTCTGTTTTATGCATATCAGAACTATTACCCTCACTCTCACTTTATAGCTAAAAGGAGTAAAGGGAGTAAACAACTAAAGGATATACTCAGTCATCTACAGGCATAACTTTTTCATAACTAAAAAGATCTCGCGACAAACTTCGTACCTTCTCCCATCTTTGCAAAAACGCGCTATTCAAACGACTTTACATCATTATAAACCGAGCATGAGACAGCCACCGCGGCCAATATTTATAAGAGAAGTGCATATGTTCGTTCTCTCCAAGAACAGAAACTGCTACCAGCGCATAAAAGGGCCCGAAAATCACATGTTTAAACAGAGTGTAAAGTCGAATCTAGGTGAGGCTGAGCCTCACGGGTCTCATTGGCTCCGCCGCCACTGAAGAGATGTGGACAGGACGATTTTTTAATAAAATAAAAAACATTTTTATTACAGAGTACAGGGTTGTTACGTCAATTCGATTTCGTGCACAACATGGTAAGCTTTTAAACAAGATAATAAGTTTTTAAGTAAAGACAATGGTCAACTTAAGAGTTCAAAATAGGCTTTAAGTGAACGAACTTTCGGCCATTTACCGAAAGTTTTCCTTGTCGTACAATACCTATTGTTTTCGACTTTTATGCTTGAAACTAGAATAGAGAGCTAAAAGTAATGTTAGTTGCTGAATTGTTAATGACGTGAAAGGAAGTGATATGAATGATGAAACTGTTATTATGTTAGAATCAACCTAAGTTAGGCATGCACCGATTTCGATTAAAATTCGAATAATCGAACTTCGATTATTCGAAATCGAAAATATTCGAACCTTCGATTATTCGAAATCGAAAATCCATTTTCATTTCTTAGAAATGAAAACACTATTTCAATCTACTCTATGAGCCGATAAAATATAGAAAGAAAAGCCAAAGAAGAAATATAAAACCGTTAAAATATCGCCATCAATACACTCTTTAAATAGTCTCACTTCTTAATAAATTTTCTTATGCATTCATATCGAACGTTAAATCGCTAAGGTTCGGTAAAACCGGTAAAACGGTGACGGTAACCTTTACGTTGCATGCCTAATCAAGATCCATCTTAACTTCATTTTACACTTTACACAAATAATCTGAACTCTCACGTCGCTCTAGTATTTTGCCAGAAACAGAAAAAAGGTTCGATTATTTTCGATTTCGAATAATCGAATTTCGATTAATCGAAATCGGTGCATGCCTAACCTAAGTTAAATACAGACTTCCAAAGGCAACAGTGGGGTCACGTCTACTTTCCTCGTTTCTATTGATATGAATGTTTATTTATTATGACCGGTTTTGGTTAACCGTAACTGGTGCATGTCTAGGAACGAAAAACATCAGGATTAAACTACCTTAACAGGGGCAGACCATCCCTAATTTTTTCCATCACCTTGCTGCCTATTTCGACTTACACATTTGAACAATTTTTTCGTCCGTATAAGAAGAATTTATTAGAAGAATACACGGACGTTTTCGGTCCGTGTAAAAGCCTTTCTCAAGGTAAAAAGTGGAAATTAAAATAACGTTGCAATTAACAAATTGGACTAATTTGCGATGGTATCTCTTTTTTGCATTTTCGATCTGTCTCGTTAATTGCAATCTTTTATTTTAATTTTCACTTTTTTACCTTGAGAAAGACCTTTCGAAGCCGAAACGTCGGTGTGTTTTTCTAATAAAACGTTATTATACGGGGAAAAAAGGCATTAAATTGTTCAATTAAGTCAAACCCGTAAGAAGACGCAACGCATCATGTCTTCTAACTTCGACCTACATATATGGTGAGACTTTTGAATATCCTATACACGGTCTTCCGAGCTTTTTATGGTTTGCAAACGTTTAAAAAAATTTAAGAGATATTTTTCAAAAATTTTGCTCTTCATCGAAGAAACATGCTTTAATAATAAATTTGATCTTCAACCGATCAAGAACATCGAACTACGTATACAGTGAAATTTTTTATTGTATTATTTATTTAGTTATTATTTTTTCCGATACACTGAAAAAAGTATTAAACTGATGCTTAATAGCATCTTCTTACAACGAATTAATCTCTGTGAAGCGTTTTAAGAATACATCTCGTAAAATTCTAGAGTTCGATCGTTTTCCGTTTTGATTATCAAACAATCTTCTCCTAAAAGCACAGCGTATCGATACTGTTTTCCATATGACAAGTTCTTTCTAATGTTTCCATTTTCATCCAACGTCACCAGCGCATCCCGTTTCACGACCAAATATCGATTAATCGATAGATAAATAAAATTCGTAAACTTAAAATTTTCGATCTTTTTCAAAAGTTTCATTGTCGATCTGTTTCGTATTTGAAATGTATTTTGTACAAGTAGTGTGTATCCATCCGATGATTGAGCATACTGAGTCACCATCACTGCTAGTTGGTATTGATTCATAAATCGAATACATTTTACATATTCACTTGTTGAGAAGAGTTGCCATCGTTTAACAAACTTCCAGTCTGACGTTCGATATTCATCAAGTGGACTTTGAACCTCACGATATCCTAGAAGCAGTGTTTGATCGTCACAATCACATGTTCCAAATTCTCTTCTATCAGCACGTTTTACATGTACTAGACAATTTATCATGAGACTCTCCACCTCAACAATAAACACCTGTTTTGTCGTTATCACGATAAATTGATTGAGATGTGACACCCAGCACATATCCTTTGTTTCACCATTGTGCCATTCAACGATCATTTTTCGTGTTCCTGTTCGATCGACCAGACGCAGTTTCTCATCTCCGTCACTGTATAGAAGAAGGTTATCTGTGCATGCCATGGCGAATATTTTTTTTCTTGATGAAAACGAGTTTATCTGCCGCAACTTTAATTGATCGAAGTTAAGTGGGGTGTTTTTATGAATGGTGATCATTGTCGACCAGTCTATATGATCACTCTGTGCTGAATCCAGACGAATTTGAAGTGGTAATTTTATTTTTTCAATTCTGTTTACCAAACATTCGGAATCAGCTGCTTTAACATCCATTCCATAAATTAACTTGTGTGTAGTTTCTTTTCTCGCTTCCTTCCTCAGTTCTTCGATACGTTCGCGTGCTTTTTCGGCCGTCTGTCGTATTCGTTCAATGTTTCGCTTTTCCCATTGATCAATTTCAAGTAAAATATCGTCATCTATCTGTGCGGTATCGTGTTTTGTATAGGTGAAATCAGTGAAAACGCGAGCGAGATGTCGCTGAATTTCATCTTCATGAGCGATAATGTGATGCGAACAAAACTTTTTCTTACAATCGTTACATTGAATGATGCCAAAAGTTTTCTTATTTAATGTTTTACACGTGGGACACAAAGAAAAATGCGTTTCGGTAGCCATATCTGAAAAATAATATTTATTTTACTTGTACGAGCTACAGTGATAATGCTTACTCAAGCGAAGTATTTTGTTCTTCACTAAGCATTACAAGATGATGATATTTTGTACACTAACGTCTATGAAGTAGGTATGCACGATATATGAAGAAATCTTTTAACGTAGCATAAGGGTACACTAGCTCCCCTTTAAAGTATTACAAATATATATCGATATCCATACCGAAATATCGAACTTTGGTATATACTCTCTAGCAAATGTAGTTGAGCCAAGTACTTGGATTAAGTAATGAGGACAGTACTTGGTCGATTTTTCAAGAAAATTTACTTGTCAAGTACTTCAGCAAGTACCTGATAAATAAAATGTAAATACACAGTGAAAGTAAATTTATTTGAAAAAGTTCAGTTATATACTTGTTCTATTTATTTTTATTTTCTATTTTATACACATTATGCAGCTATACTCTACACAGTGGGCATTTTTTGCTAGAGCAGGCGGACTTTAGCTTTACGAGTGAAGTAAAATTTCATGAACCATTTTTTTATAGCTTTTTCATGATCCTCTTTCTAATGGCATGAGAGTTGGGTTTTGAAAAAGTTTTCTAAGGAGCTTTCCAGAGACCCGGTCTCCGGAAAACCCTTGAGAAAACTTTCTCAATATTTAAAAACAATGCCACTGGAAAGAACATTGTCGAAAACCTATAAGAAACATGTTTCGAGTCTTTCAGGTGACTTTATCTCGAAATTCAAATTTTCAGCACGAAATTGTTTGTGTGAATCTCAAAAACTAAGAAATTTCTAGAATTCAAAATCAAGCGACCGAAACTAGATGAGTTATACAGCATTCAATGCAGTTTTT